CCCCGTGTGGCGTGTGTCCCCCCCCCCCCGCCCCGCCTCCCTCGCGGCAGCCCGGCTGAGCAGGCAGCACTCAGCCGAGTGCCACAGGGGGGGGGAAAGACAAGGGGAAGGAGAAGGGGGGCAGGGAGAGACGGAGGGGAGAAAGAGGCAGGAGGCGGAGGAGAGCTGAGAGTGGAGGGGGGCAGTAGGAGGAGAGAGAGAGAGACACGGAGCGAGAGAGCTCAGGATAGAATACCTGAAAATCCCGTCTTATGACTGGCTAATTGAAATAATTTTTTTGAAATAATTATTTCAAAATAGTTTAATTCTAAATAACACGTCTACACACAAAATGCATTTTGAAACAGCTTTTTGCTATTTTGAAATAGCACATCCACACTGAGTGGATTCTGAATCACATTTAAGGCCGGCCGGAACCAGGTCCGGCAGGGCATCAGGTCAGGAGTTACTTTGTGTGAGGCCTGTGCTTAAAGGGACCCCACCCGGACAGCCGGTTCTCAGATTTCCCAGCTTGCTTGCCTACCTCAATGAGGGACAGCAAAGCATTTTGTCTCTGCGTGCTCTGGTTGTCCTCACTCTGCAGCATGCAGCCAGAGCTGCCCCATGGCACTTTGGTGCTTTTCTTGGACATGTTGCTGAGAGCTTGGCTGCACTTTCTGCAGGCTGCCATCCGGGACGTCCATCGGGGGGCTGTCAGTATCCAGGAGGCCCTGCGGGAGAGCTTCCACCCTGAGGAGCACTAAGAGCCTCCCTGGTCTGCCCCATTGGGGTCTTGTGCCTCATTCCTCCCTCACGTCCTTCCACTTACCCCTCCCTAGCCCCCCTTCCTGATGTAAAATAAAATACACATATTTTCATGAACACAAACTCTCTTTATTTAACAAAACTGGGGGAGTGGGGAATGAACTCTGGTGAGACTGGGGAAAGGATGCGGGAGAGGGGAGAAGAGAGGGTAGGAGAGGGGAGGGCCTTGGTTCTCCATTCACTCACAGCACTGCAGATTAGGAGTCACCTCATTTCTATTTTCTTGGCATCAGTTCCAAGGAGAAACCTTTTCCTTCTCCCGTCCAAGTTCTCTGCTGTAGGTCAGAGGGAAATAAAGTTAGCCCACTGCACGTGGAATGATTGCATATCGGGGAATACATTGAGGGATCTCCAGACCTGAAAGCCCCATTTGCTCCAGCTTGAGCTAAGAGCCCAGTCTCTGTAGTTGGGCATTGGAAAAAACCCCATCCTCTACAGATAGCACAGATGGTGCTTTGGAAATCACACCTGACAGAAATTTACCCTATCAAATATTTGGCTGAACTAATGGGAAGCATCAGAGGGGTAGCTGAGTTAGTCTGTAAGGCTATGTCTACACTACGGTTTTTTTTTTTTTTTTTTTTTTTTATAAAGGGG